TTGCAAATAAATACCTAACAAATGAAGATGCTATGGGCTGGACAACTTGTTCCTGCTGCTGGATCACCTCTGACACAACAGACCTACCTGTGCAGTGAGTGTTGAGTGTTAGTGCAGCTATTATTAGAATCAGACGGTGAAAAGAGAAGGAGGTGAAAAAGATTTGCCTAGCAATGAAACACTCATGGCAAGGCAAAAATGGAGAAGGATTGAGGTGATCAAGGGCAAACACAGGGTCACGCTGCATTTAGGTCTGTCCATTTACCCATCAGCTCTGACCAGATTCTCTTTCCTCAGTCTGCTATGTGTTCACGGTGATGCACAGTGTTAATGTTCTATAACACACAGTGATAGGTACTTTTTCTCGAACCTAAATAAATGAACCACAGACAACGTATATGAATTTTATAGACAAAGCTTTTGCAAAAGGAGAACTCTCCATCAACAACCTCATCAGCCGTTCACAGAGAATTCTGATCTGCTTCCGCGTGAGCCCCTGTTTTATTGTCAAAGCAGAACAGCCAAAAGGGGCAGTCAGGAAGAACAACAAAGGTCGTAAAACTTCTAACCTAAACAAACCAGCCAGGTGTGATATCTGATCTACGGTCTGAGCCCAGTTCAGCTCTAGGTCAAACTAACACAAGAAGAATTTAAGGTCTGGGAAACACAGAGTTAACTGTCTCACATGAAGATAAACAGACAGTTGTAACCTCCAGGTCAGTTTATACACACATAAGGAAGAGAACACTTTAAATTAAAAATCTTAACATTAGACTGAATATGAACTAAAGTAATAACAAAATAATACCAAAAAATATCTAACACACAGCGTTGTCAGTTCAAACAGACCTCCATGTCTTGTTAGGTTTAAAGTTGTCATACTCCTCCCACTTACCAATGATTGAACAGAACTTTGTGTGACGTTCAAATGTTGTTTTTAACCTAACCGTGTCAGCAACTTTCTTCCTGCAGTACCTGATGCCTTCATGATGCTGTTTGTTCAGTAATGTTCTCTCACAAACCCCTGAGACTTTCATAGGACAGTTGCATTTATACAGGTTTGAGGTAGACTTTAGTTACTAAACATCACTTCTCAATAGTTGTGTCACATTTTATTTCAAGGCGCCTGAATAAATTAGAGAATACATGTGCATTTTTACATTTTGCTCAGTCGTTTCAGTTTTTATGGTTCTGTCACCTTACTTATGGAACCAACATATCTGAACTGCAACTCTTAAGCCAGATCCTAGATTTTTAAAATAATAAAAGACATTGGATGTATATTGTTGAAGGGAGTCAACAGCTTAAAAACCAATTGAGTGTGTTGTTGCGTTGCAGGTGCCCAGGCCTGTGTGCTAGTCTTCTCTACAACAGATCGCGAGTCGTACCAGGCCATCGACAACTGGAGGGAGAAGGTGGAGGCGGAGGTTGGAAATATTCCCACAGTCCTGGTGCAAAATAAAATCGATCTCCTGGAAGAAACTGTAATAAAAAAGTAAGTCCTCCATTCAGTGGAACTGAATGTGTTTACAGTTAAATGTGTAAGACAAAATGTAATAAGTAGAAAGTAACTAGAGACATACCAAGATTTTTTTATTTTTATTTTTCATTCATTTGCAGTGAAGAGGCGGAAGCTTTGGCTAAAAGACTTAAACTGAGATTTTATCGCGCATCTGTAAAAGAGGATCTGAATGTCAATGAGGGTAAGTAATGACAATGCTCCCTCCTAGTTGGATACAAATGAAGATGCACTATTAATTATATGTAATAAATTAAAAATCTTTTCAGTTTTCAAGTACTTGGCTGAGAAATATCTCCAGAGACTCAAACAGCAAACAGCAGAGGAAACAGAGGTGATCCACTCTACAAGCAATAAAATAGGTACACAGCTTTTTTTTAAATGCTACATTTTAGTTACATTTCATTACTTTGGGTACATTAATGATAGTTTTGTTTTTTGTTTTTTCCAAAGGCGTTTTCAATACCACTAGTAGTAATGTAACCAACCAGAGCTCCAGCAATGGCAGAGAAGTCATCACTTTACGACCCAATAAACAGAGGACCAAGAAGAGTAAGAACCCTTTTGGAGGCTGCAGTCTGCTCTAGAAAACATTTCCTACAATGTAGCTTTTGATTTCAGCGACTTGCATTTCTGTTTAAGATGACATCAGTCATTGTTGTATTACCTGGAGGTAAGCCCACAAAGACTGGGAATGTCAATATAACACCATTTTCAGTTCTTCATTGATTTTGCAACTTTTGTGCACCTGTTGCTCCTCCCATTGTGATTGCCTTAAATAACGGCAACAGCTGCAGTTTTCTTTTGTGTCCCTAATAAATTCTATATTTGATTCTTAGTGGATTTTTTCCCCTCGAAACTGTCTCGACATACAGAAATTTGTCCAGATGTGTAGAAGCAAAAGTTGCACTCGGACTCTGGAAACATTTCCCCCAGTATGTGAATTTTTTTTATTTTTTATTTTTTATTTTTTACAGCTACTCATTGCGGTGTTTAACACGAATGCTGTGCAATATATTTGCATGTATTGTAAAAGATACACAGATTATTTTGTACCATATTTTTCTAGCAATTAACAGAATATGGTTCAAACTATTACTGTTTATCCCTGACAGATCCAGAGGTAAATTGTATTTTTGTATTAAGCACAACAGTGTTGAGTGATAAATATGTGCCAAATTTACTCTTAATGAGTCTTTGCTAAAGATCACATTTAAGTGATCTGGATGAAACCTCAATTTTTTTTTATTTTTTTTTTGAATACGCTCCTCTGAGTTAACAATTGTGAATCAAGAATTACACAAAATCATTCCTTTTATGTACACTTTTAGTAAATGTAACGTTTATTTAGATGATAAATTACTGATGCTCAACACTTTGAGTCCTATCATAAATTACAATTAACTATACTATATTTTCATTGCAGGTGTTGACCTTTTACATCTTTTTTTGTTTAAACCATTGAATTTATTTAGCTGTAAATACTAAGTGTTGGTGACACTAAAGATTCAAGAGGAAATCATTTTATTTCTAACATTACAGATATTCAGGCATAAGCCTACAAGACTAAAACTCCACTACTTAGTGACATCTGTGGCATTAAGTCTATAACAGAATGTAAAACCATGGCTCTCAAAGTGTCACAAGCCGGCCATTAGGACAGGATATTAAAGTGTTTATGTTCTTGTCTTTGCCTGAAAGTAAAAGAACATGAGGGTATTGACCTAAGACTATGTGTACGCCTTTTTTTTTTTTTTTTTTTATCCCCCCTTTCCGTTTTTTTTTCCTCTTTTGCAAACCTGTTCATCAAGCACAAAAAATTATACAATAATGTGGTATAGTCTGGTGTCATAACCAGGATTTAAGCAAACATTTGCGGTCTACATGCAACTACATCTTCAAGTCTTATGATAATACCAATGTATGCATGTTTTGTTTTTAGTTTTTACAATAAAATTCTCTCACGTATTTAATCCTCATCTTTATGAATTCTGAAAATACAAAAAAGGTGCTTAAATGTGTTCCACAGTCACATCACGGTACTGAAAGTGCCCTGAAAGATCCAAGTTTTTTTTTTTTTTTTTTTTTTTTTTTTTCCCATTGGCTCCATGTGAAGTGTACTTTATATAAATATATATAAAATGCATGCAAGCCTTCTTTCACATCAGTGAATGTTCAACAATGTTTACATTAACAACTAGTAAGCATTTTAATACCATCTCTTACCGCTTGTGTGAAACTGCCTACAGTAAACCTGCAACAGAAAAATAATACTCCTAAAACCGTTTTTTTGTTGTTGTTGTTGTTTTTCTGTTTGACATTGTTTACTTTATTAGTAACATTATGACTGAATGATTTTTGTGCACTTTATCATTTAGATGAAATTAAGTCTTAAAATAAAACGTTAATAATTACTATTCATATGTATTGTTACTCAGGTGAAATAATATCTCTGCTTTACTTGTATTCTGCTTTTCTCTCACATCGACCTTCGTAAACCAAATTGACACATTTAAACAAACTGACATGTACCTGTGTGTTGGAGGGTATGGTATGGCGCTCAAACGTGCACCAGATGTTATGTTTGGGGAACGTGTTTGTTGGAAAATTGAAACTAAAAAAAATTGTTTTTTTTTTTTTCACTTGTGTCTTGGTGGAGTTTTTTTCCCCTCTTCTTCTTCACCCCATACTTTAAAATAGAAGAATAGAAATTCAGATTACTGATGTTTTTGTAATGTTTTTATTGAGTTGTTTTCATTAAAAATTGCTTTATGAAAACATCAGTTAAAATGCACAGCATATATGTGACTTGCTGCCTTCACACAAGGAGGTAGTGCATAGCATGTCCATAATCCTTCTCTGCCTAAAAGTGAAGTTTAAAAATTAAGAGTAAAAAAATACGCTATTGAATGATTGTCAATTGGAATACACCAGTTTTAGAATAATATTCTCATAATTTATCATGCTTGTTTTTTGGCATTTGAATTCTACACATAATTTATCCAATCTTAATGAGAATCTTATTGTAGGAATTTAGTTTTCATTTATTCTCACACTGTTGCATTATCAAATATCATTTGGTAAACAACTCCTGACTTAATGAACATGCATACAGTTAGTGTAAACAGTACTATAAAGGTAACTGCATTTCTTCTGTCTTTAGGGTTTGACTCAGTGCCTTGCACATGTATTTATTCCTCCCAAACTCAATATTATATAGTATTCTGTTTCAGAGGAACAAATAACTTTAATGTACACTGCTTAAAAAAATAAAGGGAACACTCAAATAACACATCCTAGATCTGAATGAATGAAATATTCTCATTGAATACTTTGTTCTGTACAAAGTTGAATGTGCTGACAACAAAATCACACAAAAATCATCAATGGAAATCAAATGTATTAACCAATGGAGGCCTGGATTTGGAGCCACACACAAAATTAAAGTGAAATGTTCCCTTTATTTTTTTGAGCAGTATATTTTATTAAAACCGATCAAAGTGGTGCATGATTGTAAAGTGGACGCAAATTGACACGTTTTTTCCAAATGTTTTGTTTGAAATAAAATAATATGATTATGTGTTAATCTATCACAAAACTCCCAATGAAATACACTGCTGTATGAGGTAATGCAGTAAACAGGAAGTCCAGGGGGTGTGGCTACATTTGCAAGGCACTGAATCACCGTCCTTTTCCCACAAGGATTTGCTTTGCTGCAGCATCATGAACTCCTGAAATTAAGTAAACACATAAAAGTTTTCATCAATTTTCTGTGAGGTTAGCAGAATTCAACACGAGGTTTAGCGGTTGCTTGGGAGCCTTAGTGACCTCCGTTGGCCTTTGTGTCCTCGAGTTTTTGGTGATCCATTATCTTGATGTTCTTCTCAGCGTTTTCAGTGTTCCTCACCAGAGTCTCCAGCCTCCTCTTGATCTTCTTCTGGTCCTCCAGAGCGCAGCTGATCACTATGGCCTGAAACTTCTGGTCGATGGGGACAGGCGGTGCTTCGGTCACGCAGGCCGCGTGCAGAGCCAGCAGGTGCTGCCGAGAACCTTCCATGTCACTCAGTAACTTTTTCACTATTTCATCTATTATAGACGTGGCCTTCTGCAACGCCTCCTCCTGCTGGGGGTTCCTGATTGTGCCAATAGAGATCTCCACAGACAGGGTTCGGCCCATCAGACGGTTTGCAGTTAAATTCAACTCTTCTCTCTCACCTTGAAAATACAAGGAATCATTAAAAACGTTTTAAAACCGCTAAACCAACAATTAAACATGCTTTAAAATTTTACTTTCGCCGAATATTTCTTGGTATTTGGCCATAGAGACGACAAAATCTGACATTTTCTCATTTTACAAGTGGATAATATGCACAGATATTCAATCAATTGGAGAAAATTGAATCAAGAATATGAAGACATTTGTTATAACTTAGTCACTGGAGTCAAAATTGAATGGCTGAACCCCTCACAAACCAAAAGCGCCTTGAAAATATCAGAATCTGTCATACCTTGACCAAATGTACTTGTATAGTACACTTAAACCAGCTAATTGTTAAATTATTCTGTGATGAGAGTCTCCAGAGTCTGAAGGAAGAAGCTGACAGGCACAGAATCCAGGCGAAGTTCCAGTGTGAAGTTTCCACTAGTATGATTTAGGGAGCCATGTCATCTGCTGTTGGTTCACTGCGTTTCATCAAGTCCAAAGTCACAAAGACATCTAGGGCAACATTGTGGAGCACTCCCTGCTTCTCTCTGCCGACAAGCTTAACAGACATGCATGATTTTATTTCCCAGCAGGACTTGGTACCTGCAGAGCCTCCTTGCAAAAAGTGTCAGTTCCTGCTTGAATGGCCCTGTTATCACCGTGCTTTATTGGACACCAAACTGGCATGACCTAAATCCCATAGAGAACTGTCAAGAGGAAGAAGAGGAACACCAGCCCTGAAAAATGCAGTTGAGATGAAGGACTACTGAAGCAAACTGGGCCTTCCTATGGTCTCGGTGTCACACCTCATTAATACAGTAAGTCATATAAAATGCACCCTCTTTAAGCACTGAGTGCAGATACTGTGCGGCACATGGACATTTCTATATTCTGAATCTTGATTGTATGTGATATTCTATATTTCTGAGGAATAGAGTTTTGTGTTTCATCAAATGTAAGCCATAATCATCAGAATTAACAGACACATTTCTAAAATATATCACTGAGTTCGTCTTTCATTCACTGAAATCTCGAAACTACTTGCTGAAATTCTAATTGAGCTGCTCTTGTATCTTTAAATGGTGACGAAATGATCTGGATGTGAAAACAGTGGAGGCTTAGTGTTAAAGTCACTGTGGGTGGAGGACTAGTTGCTTCGTGTTCATCTATAGCTTGCTCATCGTCACGATCACCCGTGCATGAATAACCTCATTAGATCACAATGTTACAGAAAGAACAAAGCAACTGCAAAACACCAGGTTTCAAAGCGCAAGCCCAGTTCCGCCCTCGGATATTTATGTTGTGTGGCATTAAACTGAGGATGACTTTTTGCCCTTATGTAAGTTGCGAGAATTAGAAGCCTCACCCGGACAGATGTTACGCATTTCTTGACTGTTCTGCAAGGACTGAATCATTTCCAGGATGCTCTCCCTTTCCTGCTCCATGGCTGATGCGGCGTCGCGTAAAGCCTCCACCCTGATAAAAGGCACAAACAAGCGCATTGTTGCCACTGTCAAGCCAATTAAACCACAACAATTTACAGTGAAAGAGCTCTTCTTGGGTTCCTACTCGACACAGACGTTATTCTCTAACATTTGGAGTCGTGATTATAAAGTAAAACTGTCACCATAAAGATTTAGGTGGTCAGACATTACAGTGCACAAACGGAACATGGGACCGAGCTGACGTAGCGCACATGGTCTGGCCTGTTTCACTCCACCGTACCTCATTTCCAGCTGATCCAAACTTTCCAGGAGTCGCCCGGAGCGATCTGCCATCGACAGCGTCCTGCTGAATTTGCTGCAGGCAGATTCGTTCAGTTTTGCGTGTATTTTTGCCTGTGCCATGATAATATTGATGATGATTGTCCGCTGTGCTCTGTTAAAATCTTCCGTCCGGGAGCGCTAATGTGATGTGCGTCCAGCACTCGCTGTTCTCCAGCTAATCGTTATTCTTCGGACTGAAGCGGCGCCTCGGGGGAACATTTCCAAACATGGGCTGCAACTTCCTTCACTCGCTTGTAGAAGCTTCCCGAGGAGACCAGAGCTGCGGTTCCTAAATGTGTGGGCCGCGGACCCCTAGAGGGGCCAAGGGAACGGTCACTTGGTCAACAGATACAATCTGCTTTGGGATATAGTTTCTTTACATTTGTTTTGTAAAGGGAGCCTTTAAGTGTCCGTTGTGCTTGGATGTTATGAAACTGAGTGAGGAGCAAAGTATTTAACATTTATTACAAACTTTTAAATGGCTGTAGTAAAATATTTTGATAATTCTTCAAATAATCCTAAAGTATCTGTTAGCTTTGCAAAAAGCAAGGGAATTTTATTTGTACAGCAAAAAGGTTTTACATGATTAGGAGGAAAATGAAACAAAAACACATTGTTGTGACAAACTATAAGAAAACGGTGACAGCCTACACTTAATGATATTACAGACATTAATCAAAGACAGCCCACTTTAAATTTTTTAGCCTTGATAAAGGAACTCATAATTCAGCAAAAGTAGTTTATCCAAAACCTTTCCCTATATTGTCTTAAATTCATTATGTTATGTGACAGACGCAGAATTATTTCTTATTCTTTTTACACATAAAAATCAGAGAAATTTGGCATGCAGCTAACCTATTTATTACAAGTCTCCTGGCTCCAGACAGTCATGTCTTTGTAGGCCTGCAATTAAGAACTAAAGAACCAAATTAAGTTTGTGTTTTTGTCAATCAAATAAAAAAATCTGATAAAACACATTAGTTTGTGGCTGTAACATAAACAAACATGGAAAAAATTGATGTAAATGCCTTTGCAAGTTTTCATCATTTAAAAACTCAAACTCTGATGTACAGCTGTCACCTGCTTAATTCTACATGCAAAGATCCAGTGTCAAATAACATGAGCATACACGCACAGGCTGTACTTCCTGAACTACTATCAGTTTTTTTTTTCCTTATGTGTGATTGAACATTAATTTGAGTGTATAGAGACAACAAATTCAAATTTTATAAATATATTATTCTATGATACGGTTAAATTTGTGCCCCAAATTGCATTATCATACTTTCCTTTTCATATTAACCAATGAACTCAATTTTACTTATGCCTCATCAGAAAAAAAAATGAGATACTTTTTCTCGTCTTTAAGGAAACCTAAGACATCAGATGTAGAAATAGTCAAGAATGTGGTCACAAGGCCAACTGAAGAATCTTGCAGTGTCACCGATGCCAACTATAGCACATGTGTCAACACACCAAAGTGTTTGAGGCTCCACAGGAGAACTCTTGGCAGACAGCAACCAGCTCCCACTAAAACCCCAAAACATGCAATCAGCCCAGCTGCACAAGGGGCAGCGTGTTGCCAAAACAGAAGAGGGATGCCAACGTAAAATGACGATTGCATTTATTTATTAAATCAGACAACAATGAGAGTAGAAAACTAAAATTTTCAACAGCAGATGATTTCACGGAAGTTCCAAGTTCTTAGAATTCCAGAAGACTTCGTTGTAGAGCTTCCTCCAAATCTGTACGGAAAAAAATTAAAGACAAAATGAGGATTTACAGAAAGAAAGAAAAAAATCACCTTATTCTTTTTAAACTTTGCACATTTGATTACTTTTGAGTATAGTCTCGGTATGACCAGCATCAGATCGAATGGCATCGGTTTTAATGTAGACATATTTAGATCAATTGATTCTGAAAAAGCTCTATTTCTGATAAAGTGCAATGCAACACAAACAGCTAGAACTGATGTTTAGGTGCAATGAACAGCTCCAATCTTCAGACTTTTACAGTGACATAATATTTTGATTTGTGCTCGGCTAGCAAGAAGGAAAAAAAAAAATGCCTCTCCGTTACTTTCAGTCCTTTACAAGCTCATTGGACATTTTTTGTATCACTGGAAAACGCAGACAGAATGAAGCAGCAGGATTTAGAAAGTTAATTAGAGTAACCAAAGCAGGACTGTGTCAATGGTCAGAGTACTGAGAGGCTACCAACTGAGCTGACAATTAAATCAACATGGAAAATATAAGACATGTAAATAATGCAGTAAACCTTAAGAATTTTGAAAAAATGACTATGCATTATTTGCATATTATAGTAAAAGATGATTTAAACATAAAAAAGAGAAAATCTTGAGGTGTTTTATAAGTTTATATTCTTTTAACAATGGCTTCATCCAAGTAACACAAACTTAAAAATGTCAACATCATCATTCCACACCACATCATGTTAAAGTAAAACTCATTTACTCTAATAATGGACAGACAGAGCAGCAGGTATCCAGAATAATATTCTTCATCAAAGTTGAAAAAGATTTTTAAAAGACAAAAGAACGGATACAGCATGCTTCATGGATAGCTTCTACAAATTGCACAACAGAAAGAACTACTTGACCAACATCCAGGCATAAAAATCAGTCTGGTTTTCTGTAATGGCTGTTGAAAGAGCTTTCAGTTAAATAAATACTAGAGCAGTGAGGACTGACTTTCCCCGAAGAGTCAAATAGGCTCTTTACGGGATTCAGGTCAGTGGAAAAGCTCCGACTATTCTTTGATTTTTTTCCCCCTCAGGAACAAGCATACTGCAAAACAGTGGAGTCCACTGACCCAGTAACGCAGGTCTCCACAAACTCAACTAGTGGATGTAAAAACTGACCCTGGTTTAGTTAAAACGTTGCCATGGTCACAATAAGGATGCAAGTGTTTTAATAAAAATAACTGTCACAAATTAAAGCAGCAGAAAATATTTGTGTTAAGCTGTCATAAGCATATTTAATTCAGCCTTTTATCATTCAATTAAAGCATAACACTTCTAGTATTGTCCTAGACGACTACCCTCATGTACAGACACAGTCAGTTATAACAATGAAAATTTCAGAGTAATGTTATTGACATCTTTACTTCTCAAACTCCCAGCTGGTATCTGCAGAAGGTCGCCGACTCACGACTGAGCAGAGTTCTGCTGGAAGACTCTTCCTTTCAAAAGGGAGACGTTGCTTTTCACTGTCACCATATGTATGATTAGTTTTTATTCCAGAGCAAATGGATGCTCTGGAATGGAGTCAATATACTGAAGACACATTTACAAATAAATACTCTTCGGGTAATTGCAGCATAAACGTTCACCATCAATAACAGAAACAAAGCGAGTTATAGTCTACACACCCAGGATCTGAAAGAAAAACAGTTTCTAGCTGTATTATAAAGCTGTTATAACAGATCCTTCCAATAGGAAAATACTCATCACATTTCCTGTTAGAAAATAGGAAATGTTAGTCTTGAGACTAACAAGTTTAGTCCTATTTTAGTATGAATACATACCAGCAGACTCTCTTGCAGCCTCTCTTGCTTCCTCTGCACTCAAAGACAGCGCACGGCACATTTCTTCATCTATTTGCTCTGGAATAAAAACAGAAAAAAATGCAACTGATTGATTCTAAAAATTGTAATCAATTACTAGGAATTTGGTACAGACAGAGCAAGTCAATTGCAGGGTTACTTTCACTTCCTGAAAATCAAAAGGGCTTCAACACAGAGCATTAAGTTTGCAGATAAATCAATCTGCAATTTCAACTGGCATTTTGCAGCATCCAAACAAAATCAGACTGGCCTGGCTGAGGAAAATGAAAACAGACTTTACATATGTCTGGCACATATTTTTGGTAGTAAAAATAGTTTTTCTTACAGTAAGTGTAATGGCCAGTAGCTCGTTTACCTTCATGAGCTTCTGGTTCATCATTGACTTTATTGGTGCTTAAAACCTTCACCAGTGTTTCGTCTTCAATCTCTGTACAAAGCACAAACCAAGATTGAAATGCGGTACAAAAAATGTGAACAAACGGGAAACGAACTGATTTACCGTCACTTCCTGAATTGATCTCCACAGCATTGATTATTTTTACAGTTTTGGGGTCCGGTTTTGAATCCCTCATGCACTCCCGGGAGCTAAGGCATGGCTCCAGTGTACAGTGCATAGCATGATAATGTTTATGAAACATTGGTACACTGCTGAAGCTCTCCTGGCACTCTTGGCACACTACGTCAAAGGTTTTGCCCAGGTTCAGGGCCGCATGTTTTGTGTGGATATGACTCTTCATCTGTGCATAAGAGGGAACAGACACGAAGCAGGGCACGCATATGTACAGACATCTTCCTTCTGTAGCGAGGTTTCTCATGCACCGGGTGTAAGTGGCTTTCTTTTTCTCTATGAATCCTTCTCCATCCATACAAGGACATACATTCTGACGGGTTTCCTCAGCAGCAGGAGGCTGAACAACTTCAGGCTCGTCCATGCAGTAGTAGTCCTTACTGTGAAGATTCCTGTAGTGACCCACAAACTCGTCCTCGGTGTCAAACTGCATGCTGTCGCACAGGCCACAGAAGAGGGAACTTTTTATCTGCCCGCCGTGCTCATTCATGCAGTGTCGCCGCACGGTGGATTCTTTGAAGAACTTCTGTGGACAGTGTCCACAGATGAATCTCTGGAAGCTGTGACTGCTCATATCGCTGCAGTGTTTGAAGACGGCCGCTTCTGACTCAAAGACGTCTTCGCACATCCTGCACATCCAAGTGTGTCCCGCTGTCGAAGACGGCGTCTCCACCGCGTCCTGCCGCAATTTGGAAGCAGAAGGCGAGGGCAATGAGACTTCGACGCTAGTGGAAGGTTTGGCCTCGAGGTTTGAGACGAGGTCAAAGGGAACCTCTTTCTCTGTGAGGTAGGTGTGTCCTCTGTGGACTTCGGAGACGTGCAGCAAGATATCTTCGTGCCGGGGCATTTCCACTTTGCACTTGCAGCAGAAGAACAGGAAGTTGGAGAGGTGGGCTCCCCCGTGGAAACGGCTCATATGTAGGCGAGCAATTGAAGACTCCCCCATGTGTTTGCCACAAACGCCACACTGGTGGAAAATCTGGTTTGCAGCCAGGAGATGCTTACTAGCGTTGGCCTCCTCAGAAAACTGCAGGCCGCATTCACAAAACCAAGCCGCCACCAAGATCCTGCTGCTGCTGCCGTCGTTCACGCCTGGGCTCAATCTTTGTCGTTTGGCTGGAAATCCATGGCGGTCACTCCATTCATTGTTTCGTTTCTGAAACTCAAACTCGAGG